AGTTTTTTTAATGACTGCATTAATTAAAAAATAATAATAATAATAAATAGTAATAACACTGTAAAAAAACTCTTAACTAATAAAGGAATTTATTCCATTTTGTTAAAACGTTCTATTTTTATCGATATTTTATTTTGTCTATAAATTTTTAGTTTAAATAAAAAATTCCCACAATGCTCACTTAATTAGGAAAACCTGTAAATCTATTTCTTTATTAAATTTTACTTTTATTTTTAGATATTGCAAATTTCAATGATTGAATTCTATAAATATAAATAAATTCAATTACATATCTATTTACTAAAACAGAAAATAATTGCTTAACTTTTTTAAGAAAATCAATTCTCATGCTTCTCAATTAACTAGGAAAAACCAATACTATAAACCCCAATTTTTGAATAAGAACTCTTTAATTTATTTAGTTAGCACTTAGAAGTATTTGGTATTATGCTGAATTACCTTTCTGGAAAATTTTAGTTAAATTGCATTTATTTTTGGTAATTGATTTTCTTCAAGTTAGCTACTTTTAGGTTTTACAAATTTCAAATAATTGTAAGATACTCTATCTATCTATATCTTCATATACCTATATTAGTGCTAGCAATAGCAGCACTTCAAAGCACTGTGCTGTGCTAGCGAAATAGTGCTCAAATTTTTTGCTTGTCAAATAGCTATTGAATATATATATGATGGTATTAAAAAGGGAATACAAAAGAAATAATTCAAGTTAATAGTAGATTAACAGAGCTAAGCAGTAATGTATAACAAGCTATGATTACATGGGTTATCCTGGTTTCAACAAGAGAATCCATTATATGTAAGGAGGAAGATATTAATAAAAAATACTAATTTAGTAGTTTATGAAGCGAATACTAATGCAGAGAACATATAACAATAACATATAGATAGCGGTAAAGCAGCACAACAGATGCTCTTTCAAGAGGTAAAACAATTTTGCACCCTGCCTTGCTCTATCTCCCCTTAGCAAATCCTGCCATTTTGTGGCAGATTAAACATCTCATTACAGCTGGCCTGCATATGCAAGTAGAAAACCACTGGCTAAGATTATATGACTACAAAGCTTCTGGCAAACAGCCAGCTTGTATTTATGCAGGTAAAAAACCACTGGCTAATGCCAATTATACATCAAACACACTGATATATAATGTTATAACTCTTTAATAAAGTTGAAAATCTAGCGCTATTAGTGCTGAAATGCATGCAGTTCTCCAATTTGCATACTATGAAATAACCAATTTAGAAAATGATCTAAATAAAATAATCTATTAATGTCCTAATTTGTTTGATTGAAATTTTGGTAATTGATATTATACATGAATAGCAAAAATATATATAGACGATTTATGCCAAAACCAACTGATGAATTTTTTATCATTTTTACTATTATAATTTCTGAAATATTAAATTTGCTGAATGATTTTTTAGCTAATTTTTGATTAAGGGTATCACAATCAATTAATTAAATAATTCTTATAGTAACACTCACAATCAATACCAATATCTATTGAATTAAAAAAAAAGCTTAACAGCTCTCTTTATTTTTTATAATTTTCTCTATGGCTCCTAAAAACCTAATACAACAATAAATTTTTTTATTTAATCATCTGTCAAAGTTTCAACTTCAGTTTCACTGGCTTCATCTATTAATAACTTTGCTAATTAAAAAACTTTTTTATATACATAAAAGAACATTGATACTAAAATAAGAAATAAATCTTTGTTACAACAGTAACAGAATCAACTTGTGAAGTCATTAGTGAAAATTGCTTTGTAAAACAAGTAAATATTTTACAAAATACTTTATAGGCTATCTATAGTAGTTCTGATATATTATTTCACACTAAAAGTATTATTAGTAATATAAAAATATTTTTTTGAAAAAAGTTATATCCTTTATTGTCCTTAAATATAGAAAACATTGACTCAAAATCCTTCAATTTTTTGGGTCATCTTTGCTAAAAAATTATTAAATTTAGTGAACAAAAAATGAAAAGTTTATTCATTATAGGTTAAAAGATAGGTTGTATTTATTATATTTTATATCAAGGTATTGATTATTTGCTTTAAAAACTTTGAGCATTAAAAATAAATTATCTATTTTTTTAGATCAGATTAAATTTTGGTGAGAATTCATTAATTATCATATAAAAAATGCAAAAGTAATACTTGAGCGACCTTTATTAATAATAATTTTTGAAGAAAAAAAGATAGCTTATAGCTCACTAACCTGTTCATTAAAATAACAGCTCACTTGGTTAAATTATTCAATTACTGACTATTGAAAATCTATTGAGTAACATACTTGAGAAAACTCTAATTAAAAAATTTACCTCTGATTCATTGAGTGAGGTGCTTGAGAGCATCCAAAGTTAGTGGTTCTGCATGATTGGCTATACGTAAAAGTTTTATTACATGCAACATATGGGTACCGCCAAAGGGAAAGCTACAAGTCACACTTTTTAAATATTAGCTTTTAATAAAAATATCTTAATATCAGGCAATTTAATACCTGAATTGTCTCATTAAAATAATTCAAACAGTATGTAATAGATTGCCTAATTTTCATTAAAAGTAAATATACAAAAGATATGACTTGTAAGTTTTCCTTTGGCGGCACTCATTTTTTTCTACAGATTTTTAAAACATCAACTTAGGCTGTTCTCAAGCGTCTAAATCAATTGATCAGATAATAATCATGATAGCATTCAGGCATCACAATTGATGACTATATTTATAGAAATAAATGCTTGAGCATACTTTTTCTGTTTATTCTAATTTTTGCTTACTATCTAAAAAACCTAATTAAAAAAATTTCTTTACAATTAATAATTAAAGTTTTGACTTTAGTTACATTGGCTTCTCCTTTTAATAATTTTAACAATTTAAATCCCTTTACTATTAATCAAAAATGGAAAACCATCTACCCAAATCTTTTAGCTTTAGTTCTTCTTTACAGAGAAAATTTTAAATTAAATAACTAAAAAATAAAAAACCAGTATTTATTATAGTTTGGTTAAATATTAAAAGATTGATTTATTTATATTAATTTATTGATTATTTGTTTTAAAAGCTTCGAACATTAAAAATAAAGTGGCTATCTTTTAGACAAGTTAGAAATTTGCTAAGAATTAATTATTTATTATTATTGATATATAAAATATATAAAATTAATGTTTAGATGACCTTTATCAATGGTAAATTTTTGAAAAAAAAGGTGGCCTGTGTCTTGCTCATTTGTTTATTAAAATAATAACACATTTGGTTAATCTATTAAATTTCTAACAAATTAAAAAGTTAAATTAACTTCCAACCCAATAAGTGAAGTGCTTGTAAACACTCTTATTCAATGCAGCAATATTGTTAAATTTTCATCTGTATGTATATTCGATATACTTTATATGATTAGTTTTATAAGAATTTATGGGAGAAAACTCTTGCCAACCAACAAATCTTAACAAAATATATCAAAACAAAGCTCCAAATGCATGAGCATGTGAAGAACTAGTTATATATATACAATATTGGGCAAAAATTGCCAAATAACGGTAATTTGGCAAATGAGCACATACTGCTTTGTAGCATGTATAGCCAATTATTTGTCAAATTACCATATTTGATAATTTGTCCAATATTGCACTAGTCAAAATAAGAAAATTTAACACTACTAATTTCGTAAGCAAATCAGCATTGTACACCTTAAATCATACACAAATCAGCATATAGGGGGCTCCACAGCAAAAGGTGGTGATAGGCCAAAAATTTTTTTCTATAGTTTTTTGATATTGTGTTCAAAATAATCCAATTTTTGCAAAAATGAAGTTTTTATAAAAAATTTTTTTTTGGCCCATCACCACCTTTTGCTGTGGAGCCCTCTATATGCTGAAATCTGTGATTTGGATTTTAATATAATTACCGATTTATGTACAAATTATATATATAACAATTAGCACCAAATTAGCATAAAACTTATTATAATCATTATAATTTATTATTAAACTCAGGCAAAGTTTGGAGCCTAGTTTTATTTTTATGATAAAATTGATTAAAACCGGGTTAACATAATAAAGTTTAAAAAAGTATTTGACCACCTAAAATAGTTTTTACATATCCTTAAGAAGTCAAATATTTTATTACTAAATGTTATTTTTTTTAAATGTAATTGTCTTTAAGTAGTCGAATGTTTTATCACTGAATGTTATTTTTTAAATGTAATTGTTGAAATAAATTCAGATTTCAACTTAATAATTCTATTTAAATGCGAAGCAGAAAATAATTAATTAATGTAAACCCGGATTTAAAAATAAAATCTGGTTCCAAACTCTATACATAAGAATAATATATATTATATATATAGTAAAAAGTAAATCATGCAACAAATATTATGTATTAATAATTTTTCCTACCTACATACACATCAGATGTCAGTTTAAATATTAAAATTTCTATTTATAGGAATCACAGCCAAATATTTATGAGAATTTTGCTGATTTGAAATTTTATACTTGTATAGTATAAACCGACTGAAAATATTATGAACAGGAATAATGCACTCACGCTAAATTGGATAGAATTCAGGGTTCCAAAGTTCAATATTACAAGTTTTATCAGTACTAAAATAGAAACGAGTTGCAGCCAAATTTACAGGTTTGTACTATCTAACATATGCCAATTTATGTTCTACAAGTTTGTTTGGTAGATTTATAACATGATTAAAAAAATACTGGACTTGTCTGGGTACAAATTGACACTTCTATCATGATTTACGAACCAAACTAAAACAAATGAACTTTTTACATAGTGAGAAGACATGTCAGAACCAAATATTTCGGAACTTATTTGGCATCTTTCATATTTGTCTGCCCTATTTAGAACAATGACAGAACCTTCAAAATCATCAGTAAAAGGATTTCTAAAGTTCATTATCACATAAGTTGCTATATAATATTCTACTAGCAAACTTAATAATTTGTCTGAAATTATTAAATATCTTTTTGTGGTGGTAAGAACTCACCAGGAAATCGTTCAGAACCAGTAATACTTGATTTTTGAACATTATATATATTCAATAAAAATTGACAGAGTTCATCGAAAGAAAAATTATCAGTTTCTAAAAGAGACCCGACAGAAGATTGATTTTCTAGTAACTCTACACCCTCAATTTCAGGTATGGAGACAGTCAAACTAATAATTTATTAGTCTTTGCATAAGTTCAGACTCTATTTTTCGATGACTATTCGGCAGAGACCCTAAAATTCTATTCATTCTTTCGAATGAAAAACACAAAAAGAGTATAATAGCCCATAATCCTGTGCATATTCACATAAATGTAATAAAAAATAAAGATTTGGTATAATTTTTCCAGCCCCGTATTTACTCTCTATTAATTTTATTAACTTAATTAACCTTTCATGAGCTTTATTCATAAGGTCCCGCTCTATAATTCGGCATACTAATATCTGGAAAATTTTAACAAAATTTGTTAAAATTTGCTGATCTTCACTCAAAAGATGTTTCCAAAGAACAACAGTAGCATAAATAGTAAAAAAATTTTATCACTGATCAGTGATAAAATTTGAGAACCTTTTCCACAATTCACTTTACCCGGAATTCTGCTGATATCTGACAGTACTTGGAATTTATTCATTATGTGCTGTACTTTTATGAGTATATTCAATGTTAATACACCTTCATTAGTCCATATTTGTTTAGCAAGCCACTTAGAAATGCCCAGGAAAATACAATGCATTGGGTCAACAATTATATAACAAATTGGATTAAAATAATTTAGACAAAGTAATTCAGACCATCAAACTTTATGTCTTTTAACAAAACACTTTCTTTCTGCATCAGAATTACAACATCTTCACTCAAGTGCACTTTGCCAATTTACCGCTGAATCTTTCTGTACAAACCACTCATTCATATTTTGCATGCCACTGAAGTTAAATTGTCTACTTACATCATTAGCATTTTTTTCACAATGATGACATGACACTAATGCTGAAATATGTCCACACAACTTTCGGGCAGCTAGAATATCACATGAAACTAATATTAATGCTATACGAATAACTTTTCCTTCAGAACTCTTAGCAGTTGAATCTAATTCTATACCACGCCAAAGAGACTCTAATTTGTCAACAACTGGGAAGAGATAATAGTTAATTTTATGCAAACTCACTTCATCTGGCCCAGAAAATATGTCTAAAATTAACATATTTTCATGCTTAAATTGAATATCATATAGCAAATTTGCAATAAATACATATATTACACTAGTGCTATATAATGTACTATCAAATGGTTGAAACTAGTCAAGATTCAACACAAGGCCCAAATGAGAGTCTGTTTTTTTGCTACAAAAAAATAGTGCCAAATCTTTATTGAATAGTTCATCTTTGAAAGTTCTCCAAATATCACTATTATAAATATCGCATAATAGATTATTAATATTTGATCTATTTACCCAATGTCGAAAATTATTTTCAAAGCCTGGATATTTATACATATTATTCAATTGATATCTAATTGGACTAAAAAAAAAACTAACTCTGGCCGGTTTATTATACTACTATCTAACAACTTAAACTGTGTTGATAAATTAGTGTCGCAAATCCTTCTTCTAGAAATTGTTAAAATTAAATTTCAATAAATTTGTAAAATTAATATTACAAATAAATAGGTATA